ACAGGAGCACCTTCAAAGCATGGCCCCTGAAAACCACAGCTTCTACAACCAGGGGCACCAAACCACATGTAACAGTTGGCCCCCGTAAGTTGAGTAGAGACTTGGGATTATACCTGACTTACGAGACATTCATAGGGAGGTGAGATAAAGTTACACAAACCTCACCTTCAATAGTTTCTAGAGTTGGGAGGTAATCCCTTGTTACCAGTGTGTGGTTGGTTGGTACCCCCATGGCCTCCTGTCAGTGTGTGGTTGGTGGGTACCCTCCCCCCGTAGCCTCCTGTCAGTGTGTGGTTGGTGGGTACCCAGTGTGGCCTCCTGTTAGTGTGTGGTTGGTGGGTACCCAGTGTGGCCTCCTGTTAGTGTGTGGTTGGTGGGTATCCCCCGTGCCCTCCTGTCAGTGTGTGATTGGTGGCTATCACGGCCTGTGTCTTATTTTTTGTTATCAGTAGTGATACGATTTTGTTGTCATAGAGACCTGTAAAGAATTTGGTGGTGATGGACATTAAAATGTTGTCTAGGGGTAAAACATGGAGCAAGGAAAACAGCCTAGTACAAAGTCACAAATTTATACGTATAAGTCAGACATGAATACATTCAACAAGGCGATTTCTTCACAACATAAAATCACTATGTATTAGTCTTATAACCTCAAGTGGCTCTGACCACCCCACGGCTCACCGTCCCATACCTGGTACCGTGCACCCAGCCACCACCGCTATCATCCAATGACACACCTCAAGTGGCTCTGACCACCCCACGGCTCACCGTCCCATACCTGGTACCGTGCACCCAGCCACCACCGCTATCATCCAATGACACACCTCAAGTGGCTCTGACCACCCCACGGCTCACCGTCCCATACCTGGTACCGTGCACCCAGCCACCACCGCTATCATCCAATGACACACATATTTAAGCCTCTAGGAAACCTGGACTCCTCTAAAACCTCTCCAAAATCTGTAATACTACTCTACCCTATCTTGCAACCCTGGTTATACACAAGGATAGGCTTATCTGACTGTACGGCCGGAGAAAAACCCTCAAATAGCAGGATCGGTCGGCAGCGATACACCTCCCCCTCCAGTCAAGATGGCGTCCACCTCTCTTGCATCATCGCCCCTTAATACTCTATTCTTTACATACACAATCAAACTCATTATGGATTTTATTTACTATATTCCCCATGCATACTTTTTGATGGAGTCCATTTTTTCCTTACATAGTTAGGCTATTCCATTTCACATTATTTCTGATGATCTCCAGCTGAGAAGGTACTACTTTAATGGGCGGAGTATTACTGGTATAATATGATCTCAGCTGTGGATTTATTCTAATAAACACTCTCCACTGAGTCCACCATTTTATAATAGAAACTAACCTCCACAGGAGGTAAGGTTCGTAACAGTGGCTACCCCCTGTTTCCTCCTGCCAGTGTGGGGTTGGTGGGTACCCCCTGTGTCCTCCTGGTAGTGTGTGGTTGGTGGGTACCCCCTGTGTCCTCCTGGTAGTGTGGGGTTGGTGGGTACCCCCTGTGTCCTCCTGGTAGTGTGTGGATGGTGGGTACCCCCTGTGTCCTCCTGCCAGTGTGGGGTTGGTGGGTACCCCCTGTGTCCTCCTGGTAGTGTGTGGTTGGTGGGTACCCCCTGTGTCCTCCTGGTAGTGTGTGGATGGTGGGTACCCCCTGTGTCCTCCTGCCAGTGTGGGGTTGGTGGGTACCCCCTGTGTCCTCCTGCCAGTGTGGGGTTGGTGGGTACCCCCTGTGTCCTCCTGGTAGTGTGGGGTTGGTGGGTACCCCCTGTGTCCTCCTGGTAGTGTGTGGATGGTGGGTACCCCTTGTGTCCTCCTGGTAGTGTGTGGATGGTGGGTACCCCCTGTGTCCTCCTGGTAGTGTGTGGATGGTGGGTACCCCCTGTGTCCTCCTGGTAGTGTGTGGTTGGTGGGTACCCCCTGTGTCCTCCTGGTAGTGTATGGATGGTGGGTACCCCCTGTGTCCTCCTGCCAGTGTGGGGTTGGTGGGTACCCCCTGTGTCCTCCTGCCAGTGTGGGGTTGGTGGGTACCCCCTGTGTCCTCCTGGTAGTGTGTGGATGGTGGGTACCCCCTGTGTCCTCCTGGTAGTGTGTGGATGGTGGGTACCCCTTGTGTCCTCCTGGTAGTGTGTGGATGGTGGGTACCCCCTGTGTCCTCCTGGTAGTGTGTGGATGGTGGGTACCCCCTGTGTCCTCCTGGTAGTGTGTGGATGGTGGGTACCCCCTGTGTCCTCCTGGTAGTGTGTGGATGGTGGGTACCCCCTGTGTCCTCCTGGTAGTGTGTGGATGGTGGGTACCCCCTGTTTCCTCCTGGTAGTGTGGGGTTGGTGGGTACCCCTGTGTCCTCCTGGTAGTGTGTGGATGGTGGGTACCCCTGTGTCCTCCTGGTAGTGTGTGGATGGTGGGTACCCCCTGTGTCCTCCTGGCAGAGTGGGGTTGGTGGGTACCCCTGTGACCTACTGGTAGTTTGTGGATGGTGGGTACCCCCTGTGTCCTCCTGGCAGAGTGGGGTTGGTGGGTACCCCTGTGTCCTCCTGGTAGTGTGTGGATGGTGGGTACCCCCTGTGTCCTCCTGGCAGAGTGGGGTTGGTGGGTACCCCCTGTGTCCTCCTGGTAGTGTGTGGATGGTGGGTACCCCTGTGTCCTCCTGGTAGTATATGGATGGTGGGTACCCCCTGTGTCCTCAGTACCTGTGATGCTCAGATATTATGCCTGACACCTTGACAATCATGATAGCATTGCTGCTCTTGAATATTATTATTTCAAATATGATGTTCAGATAATTTGTGTTTTATACTACATGAAATTTCATCTTCATTGAATGTTTAGAGTTTGGCGTCTTTCATCCGTAAGAGTTGTATATAACATTGCCATATCTGTGTGTGTGTGTGACGGTGGCGCACATCTCAGTGTGTGACGGTGGCGCATATCTCAGTGTGTGACGGTGGCGCATATCTCAGTGTGTGACGGTGGCGCATATCAGTGTGTGATGGTGGTGCATATCTCAGTGTGTGACGGTGGCGCATATCTCAGTGTGTGACGGTAGCGCATATCTCAGTGTGTGACGGTGGCGCATATCTCAGTGTGTGACGGTGGCGCATATCAGTGTGTGACGGTGGCGCATATCTCAGTGTGTGACGGTGGCGCATATCAGTGTGTGATGGTGGCGCATATCAGTGTGTGATGGTGGTGCATATCTCAGTGTGTGACGGTGGCGCATATCTCAGTGTGTGATGGTGGCGCATATCTCAGTGTGTGACGGTGGCGCATATCTCAGTGTGTGATGGTGGCGCATATCTCAGTGTGTGACGGTGGCGCATATCTCAGTGTGTGATGGTGGCGCATATCTCAGTGTGTGACGGTGGCGCATATCTCAGTGTGTGACGGTGGCGCATATCTCAGTGTGTGACGGTGGCGCATATCTCAGTGTGTGATGGTGGCGCATATCTCAGTATGTGATGGTGGCGCATATCTCAGTATGTGATGGTGGCGCATATCTCAGTGTGATGGTGGCGCATATCAGTGTGTGATGGTGGCGCATATCTCAGTGTATGATGGTGGCGCATATCTCAGTGTGTGATGGTGGCGCATATCTCAGTGTATGATGGTGGCGCATATCCCAGTGTATGATGGTGGCGCATATCTCAGTATGTGATGGTGGCGCATATCTCAGTGTGATGGTGGCGCATATCAGTGTGTGATGGTGGCGCATATCTCAGTGTATGATGGTGGCGCATATCTCAGTGTGTGATGGTGGCGCATATCTCAGTGTGTGATGGTGGCGCATATCTCAGTGTATGATGGTGGCGCATATCTCAGTATGTGATGGTGGCGCATATCTCAGTGTGATGGTGGCGCATATCAGTGTGTGATGGTGGCGCATATCTCAGTGTATGATGGTGGCGCATATCTCAGTGTGTGATGGTGGCGCATATCTCAGTGTATGATGGTGGCGCATATCTCAGTGTATGATGGTGGCACATATCAGTGTATGTTGGTGGCGCATATCTCAGTGTATGATGGTGGCGTATATCTCAGTGTGTGATGGTGGCGCATATCTCAGTATGTGATGGTGGCGCATATCTCAGTGTGATGGTGGCGCATATCAGTGTGTGATGGTGGCGCATATCTCAGTGTGTGATGGTGGCGCATATCTCAGTGTGTGATGGTGGCGCATATCTCAGTGTGTGATGGTGGCGCATATCTCAGTGTGATGGTGGCGCATATCTCAGTATGTGATGGTGGCGCATATCTCAGTGTGATGGTGGCGCATATCAGTGTGTGATGGTGGCGCATATCTCAGTGTGATGGTGGCGCATATCAGTGTGTGATGGTGGCGCATATCTCAGTGTGTGACGGTGGCGCATATCTCAGTGTGATGGTGGCGCATATCAGTGTGTGATGGTGGCGCATATCTCAGTGTGTGATGGTGGCACATATCTCAGTGTATGATGGTGGCGCATATCTCAGTGTATGATGGTGGCGCATATCAGTGTGTGATGGTGGCGCATATCTCAGTGTGTGATGGTGGCACATATCTCAGTGTATGATGGTGGCGCATATCTCAGTGTGTGATGGTGGCGCATATCAGTGTATGATGGTGGCGCATATCTCAGTGTATGATGGTGGCGCATATCTCAGTGTGATGGTGGCGCATATCAGTGTGTGATGGTGGCGCATATCAATGTGTGATGGTGGCGCATATCTCAGTGTGTGATGGTGGCGCATATCTCAGTGTGATGGTGGCGCATATCAATGTGTGATGGTGGCGCATATCTCAGTGTGATGGTGGCGCATATCTCAGTATGTGATGGTGGCGCATATCTCAGTGTGATGGTGGCGCGTATCTCAGTGTGATGGTGGCGCATATCTCAGTGTGATGGTGGCGCATATCAATGTGTGATGGTGGCGCATATCTCAGTGTGATGGTGGCGCATATCAGTGTGTGATGGTGGCGCATATCATTACAGGTGTGGACAGGTGGCGCGTGTATAACCTGAGGCTGGACCATCCCGAGTCTCCCGACACCTGGGGCGTCAATACTCCCAGCTCTAACATTGCCCAGGTGGCTCTCAAGGTCAGTTCTCCCAGCTCTATCAAGGTCAATACTCCCAACTCTTAATATATTCAGGTGACTCACAAGGTCAGTACATCGAGCTTTAATAATGCGCAGGTGGCTAACATGGTCAGTACTCCCAGCTCTGTCATGGCCAGGTGGTTCACACGGTCAATACTCCCAAGTCTGTCTTGACCAGGTGGCTCACATGGTCAGTATTCCCAGCTTTATCATTGCTATTTGGCTAACAGGGTCAGTTCTTCCAGCTCTGTCATGGCCAGGTGGTTCACACGGTCAATACTCCCAAGTCTGTCTTGACCAGGTGGCTCACATGGTCAGTATTCCCAGCTTTATCATTGCCATTTGGCTAACAGGGTCAGTACTCCCAGCTCTGTCATGGCCAGGTGGTTCACACGGTCAATACTCCCAGCTCTGTCATGGTCCAGTGAGTCATAGGGTCAGTAATACCAGCTCTGATATCTCCAGGTCTCTAACATGGTTATTACTCCCAGCTTTGCCATGGTCATGTGGTTCACAGGGTCAGTACTCCTAGCTCTGTCATGGTCATGTGGTTCACAGGGTCAGTACTCCCAGCTCTGTCATGGTCATGTGGTTCACAGGGTCAGTACTCCTAGCTTTGCCATGGTCATGTGGTTCACAGGGTCAGTACTCCTAGCTTTGCCATGGTCATGTGGTTCACAGGGTCAGTACTCCCAGCTCTGTCATGGTCATGTGGTTCACAGGGTCAGTACTCCTAGCTTTGCCATGGTCATGTGGTTCACAGGGTCAGTACTCCTAGCTCTGTCATGGCTATGTGGCTCACAGTGTCAGTACTCCCAGCTCTGTCATGGCTATGTGGCTCACAGTGTCAGTACTCCCAGCTCTGTCATGGCTATGTGGCTCACAGTGTCAGTACTCCCAGCTCTGTCATGGCTATGTGGCTCACAGTGTCAGTACTCCCAGCTCTGTCATGGCTATGTGGCTCACAGTGTCAGTACTCCCAGCTCTGTCATGGCCATGTGTGAATTTCCCAGCAGGTGTTTGTTATATTAAGATTAGTTATTACTAAGTGGACTGTAGATGTTGACTCTGTGATAGATTATATTCCTGCTAGGTGTTAACACTTATTTAATTTTGGGAGGTTGTTTAATATTGCTAAATCCACCTTATAAGATTATATAATCATGAAGCTTTGCGTAATAGTGGCTTTAGGCATTGTATGTACTAGCTCTATTTATAAATTCATCGATATTTTTATCATCCCTTGTATGTATGTACTTTCCTGAATAAACATTTGAATTTGAATTTGAATTTGAATTTGAAAGTTAGTAAATCATGGTAAAAAATATTTCATAAAAGGTTAGTAGACTAACTACAGTTATTAATGAATATGGTATGAGGGCTTAGCTGCCGCGTAGGTTTGCATATGTAACGTCAGGGGAACTGTTCGAGAGGCAATACAAATTCTCGTCTCGTGGCTGGGGTGTCGAGACCCCAGTTGAGGCGGCTGGCTCCCGGTTACTTCTCTCCACTCTGCTGTTACATTGTACAACATACAATATAACTTCAGTGTTAATATTTCCTTAGCTAATCTCAAATTGATAGATTAACTGCCTACTAGACCTAAACTTAATCTGGATGTTTAAGATCTGCTGCGTAACGGCCGGGCTATTCTGTGATAAGTAAATATGCCATAAATACCACTAAAACTTCTATAGCCGATCGAACACAATTTCCCTTATCGTGTGAAGCTAGCAGCAAAGTCTGGGAGTCGTGAAACATCGGATGACCCAAATATTGGACGATGCTAATCGGCTTGCTTCAGCAGGGAGCAGATCAAGCTCGTGTTGTTGTGAGACTGTGTGTACAAGTGACGCTTTCCCATCCCTCTCGTGGTGAACGCCTGGGAAATTAGTCATGTTATTTATTTTATATCGGTCACTAACGAGACGATATTAGCGTCATTTTACACCCATATATTTTACCTCAAATACCAGAGAACAATTTTCCATTGTTCATTACACTAGATCGAAAGGTTTTCTGTGATTAAAAGCACATTTCAGAAATCCTGCATATGTGATGTGATTATTATTTTGCCCGTGAATCAACATATCATGGATGTGGAAATTCACCTTGGGATGGAAGTTTAATTTAATTCTTATTGAAATTAATTAAACTCCCAATATAAATAACAAATGCAAATAAAAACAAATTGCAGACTGGTTTTAATATGAATTAGATAAAGAAATCGTCACCACGTAAGCCGTGGTGGGTGACGGAAAAGCCCACCAATGATACTTGGAAACTTTTGGCGCTTACGCACTAAAAATTAATATTGTTAGTAAATTTAATTTCATAGCACAACATATTTATCTTGATGTGCTAGGGGTTAGTGGTTTAGGTGTTGGAAATTTCCAACACCTGGTTCACAGTGTCAGTACTCCCTGCTCTGTCATGGTCATGTGGTTCACAGCGTCAGTACTCCTAGCTCTGTTATGGCCTGGTGGTTCATTGTGTTAGTACCCACAGATCTGTCATGGCCGGTGGTTCATTGTGTTAGTACCCACAGATCTGTCATGGCCGGTGGTTCATTGTGTTAGTACCCACAGATCTGTCATGGCCGGTGGTTCATTGTGTTAGTACCCACAGATCTGTCATGGCCGGTGGTTCATTGTGTTAGTACCCACAGATCTGTCATGGCCGGTGGTTCATTGTGTTAGTACCCGCAGATCTGTCATGGCCGGTGGTTCACAGGTGGTAAAGTAAACCAGAGGTTTACTTTACTTTTTTATCCATCTCCTTCTTGAGTGGTATGAACTGTTTCGTTGCATTAACGCATTTCCCAGGAATGAATTCCATCAGCTCATATACTGTCTTCCTTTCCATTTCTCTTTCCAATTGGATTTACTGCAGAAAGTTCTTCATCCTGTCGTAATCCCCACGTCTGGAATCTTTCTTGTTCAACAGGTGTCTTTGTGTAAGAAATTCCTTTAGCTGCACTATGTATTCAAGCATGACATTGCATTTGTCCTTGAGGCATCTCATACTCTACTTTTTTCGACAGGTGCTCCATTTTGGGAAAACACTAGCTCTGCTGTTGGGTCGTCTCCTCTTAATTGTGTTGGTTCTGTGACATGTTGCTGGAAGAAGTGTTTGTCTTTTATGTCTAAAAGTTTTGCTCTTCATGTCTCATCACCCCCATGGGGATCCTTATTTATCCAATCTATTTCACTGTGATTGAAATCCCACAATATTTGGATTTATCTCTTGTTTCCCTTGCTACTGTGGCTGTTTTTTCTATTACTTTTAGACAATTTACACTGCATATGCCAAATTCTTCCCTTGGCATTTTACTTTTAGGTAGAGGATTATAATTCACTGTTACCACTATCTTCACGTGTCCCACTGTTGTTCTTCCTAGTATATACAATTGCTGGTGAACTCAGTCTGCAAGTTTTAGTTCTTCAAAGCTCCAGTTTAGCTAAAGCAACATAGCTATACTACCTACCTTCTGCACAACCTATCTTTCCTAATTTTTTGGTTCCTTCTTGGGAAGATTGCATGTCCTATGACACTTGTCAGTTTCGTTTGTTAGCACAGTGCTTCTGCCACTCCTTCCTGTAACTCTACTCCTTTATTCGCCATTCCACCTGTATTTATGTACCTTGCTTTTATGCTACCTATGGCAATTGTGCTGCTTTTGTTTTCCTTGAGAGGGTATTTGTTCTTATGGCTACATTTCCATTTCAGATTCAGGGAGGAGGGGTATGGTGAACTAGTCGCTATTGCCTGCTCATTTGTGTAGATGCTTCGTTAAACAAGGCAGCCCTACTCTCTCCCGCTGTAGTAATCTCCATTGCATTGTTATGCTGGTCTCTCCCAATATTTCCCCTCATAAAATCCCTGTACAAAGTTCCTGTATATAATCCATGCATATATGCTCTCAGTTGCCAGATATGCTTCGCACTGTGCCCTGTTTGTACCATTTGCTGGTCTTGTATTTTAATTTGCTTTTCCTATCTGAGTCTCTTCACTCCTTAAACATGTCCTGTCTAATAAACACTGCATGGTACTTTTCATAAATTCTCACATATCTCTTCTCTCCCAGTAAATATTTAATTGGGTTGTTGTTCATAAAAATAATGTTTACTAGTAGATGTCTTTCTGAAACTTACCTAGCCTACAGAAATGCTCTATTTCCCTTATTTCATCTCCAGTCTGAATTTTAAATAGAATTTCTGTTTTTTTAATTCCGTTCTATCTCCTCATTTGCCATGTGCCCCCCTTAATATTAAGCTTAGGTAGGTTGCATATTACTACTGATCTCTATCTCTTCAACTCCTGTTATGTACATTTCATGACTTGGGTAGTTCCTACAAATTCTAACACTGTTTCTTTAATTATCATCTTAAAACATTGGGAGAGGAAAGTGTTGAGGTTCTCTTCATTAGCAATGGTAAACATTTTACCCTCTGCAGTCTTTCTCACCTTAATCAATCCATCTCTAACGAAGCACTGATGAATCGCATCCCATTGTACCCATTGTAAGGCAGCTTCATTGTCAGACCATATAATGACATCTTTGAAGTTCATGGTAGACAAGACTTGTTTGATATGCACTGCTAAGGCCTTAGAGGTGATAAGATATGATTGATTAGAAGTCACTAAGTAAGCACAAGCTCCAAAAGCTTTGGCTGACGAGTCTGCGAATACATGTAGTGATACTTCATCATTTTCCTCGACTATGTGTCTCGGAAAGATTATCTTTTCAACTAAAGTTTGTTCTTGAGCCACTTCCGTCCAAGCTTTTTGTAACTGGATTGGTAGTGGATCATCCCAACCAACTTTAGTCTTCCAAGCTTCTTGCACCAATAAACGCCACTTGATAGTCAAAGGATTTAGTAGACCAAGTGGGTTGAATACTTTGCTAACTTGTGAAAGCAAATCCCTTTTTGTAGCAATGCAATAATTAACTAGCACAGAATTGATCAAGATCGTGTCCGAGATTAAATCCCACTCCA